GAATTGTAATAAATAGATTCCCAGCATGATTCGAAATTTTTATTATATCTAATTTAATATTCATTTACTGCATATTAGAATTTAACAAAGCTTTATTAAGAAACATATTCTTCAAATTATTATAAAGCAAATTCATTGATTTATTATTCACATAATTATCTTAGTTTTGCTAATTTAATAATTATATTTTTAATTATTAAAAATTTAAATTTTATCATTTCTTAATGATTGTAATTATCACAAAATTATAATATTCTATATAAAAATCTACAGTAGTTAATTTAACTAAGTATGACCTATTCATTTGTATTAAATATTTAATTAAAGCAAAAATTTTATATTTCGAATTTATCTACTTTAATTTATTTAGTATTATTATTAATATTATTATTATATTATTATTATTATTATTAATATTATTTAGATCTTTTTCTTTTTTATATGACTAAATATAGGTTTAAATTTGTTATAAAGAAATTCTTTTATTTTCATTTATTTACAAACAGCCTTTTATTATTTTTTTGTGTTTTCACTTAACTACAGTTATTATGGAAATTACACATTTACTTTTTATACTTTATCAATTAATTCTTTTTCATTTTAAACATCCCATGGGTCTTTTCCGCAAATTAATTCGTATAAAATTATACCTAATGCCCAAATATCGCTTTAAAATGAATATTTGTTATCTATAAGAACTTCTGGACTCATATATATTGGTGTACCAACATTATATTTAATATTTAGTTATTAAATATTTGATAAATCTTATGAAAAACCGAAATCTGCTATTTTAGGAACACCATCTTATACAAAAATATTTGCTAATTTTAAATCTCGATGCACTATCTTTATTTTATTTATTATTTTTTTATTTTTTTTATTTTTTTACATTATTATTTTAGAGTTCATTTAAAGCGCTAACGATATGTTAAAATATTTCTAGTGCAGCACTTTCTTTAAATTAACCATATTTCTTTATTTATGCTTTAAGATCTCCGTTATTACAATATTCAGTTATTATATATGTGTTGTTTACTGTTTAATATACATCTAATATTTTTAAAATATTCACACAATCAAATTTTTTTAGAATTTAAATTTCGTTTTTTAATAAATGTTTCTATAAACTATTTTTTAAATTTTTCATGTCTATAACTTTTATTGCTACTTATTATCCATTTTATTCATTTTTACCTTTGTAAACTTTACTTGAATAACCTTTTCCTATTTTATCTGAAAGACAATAACTATATTTTTCTATTATTTTTTTGGAACATAATCTTACTTTTTTATTTTTAAATATTTTTATTTTATTCTTTAAATTACTTTCGATTATTTCTATTATTATAAAGGTTATTAAAAATCATTTGATTAAAATTGTACTTTATAAGACATTATTATATTTGTTATTAAAATTGTATTAAAAAATTAATTATAACAGAAAAATAAATAAAGTAAAAATAAAAAGTTTTTAATAAAATAATAAAAAATGTCTATTATAACAGTATATTTTTTTATTTATTTTCTATATTCTAATTATACAATTAATTTATATTATTTTTTAATATAGATAACTTTATAAATAATCTGATACCCTGATAGTATATATTTTTTTTCTTTTTTAAAAAAATACAAAAATACAAAATATTAAAAATTAAATAAATCAAGAAAAACAATTAATTTTAAATTATATAGTATTTATTTATACGTCAATTAATAATATAAAAAATTTATATTTTTAAATAAAATGAAACAAAAAATATATATAATTTATTCACTTATTATTAAAATAATCCTGAATAATTTTCATTTAAAATATTTACATTACAAATTCTTTGTTTTTTTTATATATAATTATTTATACTAATTTAAAGATTTTATTATACAGAATTTACATTTGAAATTACTTAATTTTTCTATATTTTTTACTTTATTATATTTTTTAAATAATCTATTTATTTTTCTCTTTAAAAAAAAAGTATTCTTATATTATTATCTATTTTTATATTTCCAAATATTATTAGTTTTTTAATATAATTTATTCTCTATCTATATTACAATAATAGGAATGTTTACTTATAAGGCTCTCCTATATAAATTTAGTTTAGTTTTTTTATAATTTTTAAAGCTTCTACTTAATAAATTGATATTAATAGATTTTCTAAAGTAACGGAAACATATCAATTATACTTATCGGTATTTTGAAAAAGATTTTTTTTAAAATTTGAATCCATTTATTTTATTTTGGTTAAATAAAGTTTATTTTTCTTTTTTACATATAAATTAATATATAAATAAAAAAAATTAAATATATTTCATTCATTCATTCAATTAATTTAAAGCTAATTCTAAAATTAGGAAAAGTATTATCATTAGGATTAATAATATCTTTATAATTATAAGTAATTTAAATTTAATTTTTTCCTAAAATAAACGAATATCCAAAACTCGTAACAAATCTAAAATTTCTTCTATTTAATTAATATTACATATAATTTCTACTAAAATTTTTTAAATAAAAAGAAAAATAAAACTAAGCAAAAGGCATAAAATAATCATTCCTTAATTAAACTTATTTATTAATTTATGTCAAAAACATATATTTTTAGTTTAATTATTATTCGTTTCCTGAAATATTTCTCGGTACTAATTACTCATAGTAAATTTTATTGAAAAAGAAATTAATAAATTACAATTCCGCACTATCAATTACTTTAAAATATCTATAAAAAAAACTCTTACTATAATAACTAAATTATTTAAAAAACATACTATCATTCTAAAAATCATACCCTAAATAACTTTTAGAATTCACAGAATATAAAATTTATTTTTTAAAGCTAATTTAGCATTAAAACATTACATATCACTCATATTATTATTATTAGTTTAAAAATTATATATTTTTATAAAAGCATTTAAAGTATCTTATTCAGATAATAATTTCGAAGCTTTTAATTTAAATAAGAATTCTTTATCGAAATTTCTCATTTAAATTACATTCTATTACCTTACTTTATATTAAATATTGCTCATACTTTCTGAAAAAGGCATAACGGAATTTATTTTACAACTTATTTCATCATAATAATCAAATATAGGTCTCCATATATATAATTAATCTTTTCCTAGATCTATTGATGCAGCAAATCCTAATTTATTTTTGTCATTTGTATTTATTCCTATATTTATATTTGATAAACCTTACATATATAATTAATCTCTTTAACTTATTTATATTAAACTATCTTTTATATTAAATTTTAAAGTTTTGTGAAAGTATGATTTTAAAAATTGTATTTCTTTTAATAATATCGTGTTTTGGGATGTTTTTAGATATCTTTTCCATAATTCCTTTAAGTCAGGATTTTATTCGCGTTCTTTTTTAGGAATTCTTCTTCTTATTTATAATAGTCCATTCTTAATTTTGTATGATAATTATATAGTTATTATAGGTAATCCATTTTTTTAATGGTATTTTTAATGATATTTATTGTACTTTTTTATTTTCTATTTATTATATTTTTTTAATATTATTATATATAAAATATTTTTTCCAGATCTAGCTTTTATTTATTTATTTTTTTGAAAAAAACAAAAACAAATTATTTTATTTTAAATCTTTATAAATAAATGCTTTCATTATTAATTTATATTATTTTTTAATTAACATATTTTTTAGTTATTTACTTTGTTTTTTATTTTATTGTTTTTTTATTTATAAAATTAACTTTTTTATATTAGAAAATAAAAATTGAGACTTTTTTTTTAAATAAAAAATTTCACTTTAATATATTTATTATTTTTACACGTTAATACATTTAGATTTATATATAATTAAATTAAATATTTATAATTTTTCTAATCATATTACATAAAAATTAAATAATAATAATCATATATATATATATCAAACAAAATATAATATGTTTTATAAGTTAATAATAATATTTTTTTGGATTTTTAATCTGATATATTGCCATCAAAATTAAAAAGCAAATTTATTAATATACTATATTAATACAGTAGATTTCTTAATGAATTAAATAGAAAAATCATTCATAGATTATATTCTCCCATTATACTAGTTTGTAAAAGCGAATGATATTTTAAGTTTTCTAATAATTAATTTGATATTATTTTTAATAATTAACCTTTATATAAAGAATTTAAAAAAAGTATTCAAAGAAGGTAAAATAGAATTGATTTATAATTAAGATTATCCAAAAAATCAAAATGAAATAACAAGATCTTTACAAAAATTAAGTTAAGCAATATAAGAATTATAGAATCCATAAGCAAATTAATACTAAGTTAATAAATCTAAAGATTCATATGATTAATCAAATGTTATTCAATAAAAGCTTTTACAAAATTAACAAATATTAGTAAATGTTAAAGAAAATGTTAATAAAACTATATAATTTTAACAATAATGTTAATAATAAATATAATTATCTTAAAATTAATTACTTAAATAATTAGAATAAATAAGAAGACCTACAAAATAATAAGAATAAAAACAAGAAAATAGCTAATATTTAGACACTTAATATTCCTAAATAAATGAATAGTATAATATATAAAACAACTAATCTTTAAACAAGCCTATATTAGAAAATAATAATGAAATTAAATAATAATATGAATTTTAATAAATAAATAATAATATTTAATTAATAAATGATTAAAATAATTAATAAGATTTCTAATAGTAATAAACCTTCTAATAATAATAAAAATAACCTTTATAATAGTAATAAATCTTCCTTTAATAATAATAGTATTAATAACCTTTATAATAATAGTAGTAAAATTTATAATAATAACCTTTATAATAACAATTATAACAGTAGTAATTTTTAGAATAAGAAATTGAAATAAAGAATTAATAATCAAATCAAATTACGCGTTAATAAAATAATAAAAATATTCCACAAGAATATCCGCCACCAAGTACATTATAAGAAAATATTTAGGAAACTTTATAAGATAATATGTAAACTGCTGTCACTGTACCATTGCCAACTGCTCCTCCTGCTTAAGTAAATGTCTAAAAAGTATTTACGAGAGTACCTTATAATCCTAGACAACCTCCTAAAAGAATTATATAATAACCAAATAAACCAAGTTTGTAACCACCAATAGGCTGATTTTAAAATTAATAATATATAAAGAAATAAGATAATATTAAATTCTTATTATTATTTTTTACAGAAAAAAAAAGTAGTTATATAATATGAATTTATTTATTTTATTTTTGATAAATATTAATAAAAAGAGTTTTTATTATTTTTATTTTTTGAACTTCGCTGAAAGTATTTATTTTTATTTTTCTAAATTAAAATATTAATATAATATTAAAAATTACATATTTATTTATTTAAATAAATTAATATTATCCTACCTCTTTTATAATAAAAATAATAAATTTATTATTTACCAATTGAATAAAAATTATAAATAAAATGAGGTTTTCCATAATATATAAAAATTCTTGTATTTTCGTTTTTCTTAAAATAATATATTTTTCTTTGTAAAATAAGTATTATTTATAATCAAACTAAAATAATTATTTTATTATTATATTATAATAAATTATATAAATTATGATAATTATGTAAATTAATATTGTTTAATCAAATAGTTATGGTTATAAAATATAAAATTAAGCTTAAAATATATGCGACTGTATATCGTATATTTTAAATAAATATTTACTTAAATAATTAGATAATCATTTATTGTATAACTTTTAAAAATATAATTTAAAAGAAAAAATATTAATTAAAAAATTTCAGTTTCTTATTTAAATTATCTTTTAAAATTTATAATAATTCATAGGTTATTAAATAAAACTGAGTATAGTGAATGATTTTTAGTATTTAGATTTTATAAATAAATAATTTAATTATGATATATATAATAAATTAGTAAACAATATAAAAAAAAAATATAAAATGTATATAATGAAAGATTTAATTACTTCTTTAATGAAGCAATTACTTCGATAAAAAATCTATACTAATAAACTAATTTTTTATAAATAAATTAGTTAATAATATCTATTTTTAATAATTAATATTTTGATTTGTATTTTTATAGTTAAAAACTTAGAGATATTAAAAAATTTGTAAATAGAAAAAAATTATAATATGTTTATTAATAAAAAATTTCTAGATAATTATTACACTATACTATTAAATATATATATTTTTATATATATAATATATTGATATATTTTTATGTATGTAAATAAAATATCTAAAAAGATTAAAAGAATATTATAATTAAATTTTTTAATATACTTAATTTATATATTATATATATATATATATATATATATATTTGTAATTTATATTTTTAATATTCAAGACATAAATATGCAAATATTTGATATTAAAATCTTAAATAAAAATAGTTTTACTCTTAATATCAAAATTTAGATAATTATAAAAAAGATGATTATAAATAAGGCCAAGAAAATATATTTGAGTATTTTATTATTAGAAAACTAGAAAATTCTATGATTCTATGAATATTATATTTTAAGCATGACCTTTTATAATTTTTATTGTTTTGCTAAAAATTAAAAAGGTTAATAATCTCTTAATTAAAATTTAAACAGGGAATTAGTATAGATAAATGAATAAGTATTTAAAAAAAGAGAAAATATAATATGAAATTCACTATTTTAAAGAAGTTATAAATTTAGAATTACCAAATATTTATAATTATTTTTAAATGATGTCTAAATCAATAAAGAATAATTGATATTAATTATAAAAAAAAATATATTAAATTATTAAAAAATAAAAATTATCCTTTTATATTTGTGAAAAAATGATTATTAATAATTGATTAATAACTCAATAGTAATATTAATATTAATCATAAGATTAATTATTATTAAGATAAAATATTTCATTAAAATATATATGTTTAAAATGTTATAATAATATATATATATATATATATATATATAAATAAATTTATATATATAGATATATTCGATTTAATTTTATAATTATGATGTATAAATGATGCTTATTTTTATTATTTTAAATACAACATTTAATAATATAAAATAAAATATTTATTGAGTTTTTTTTTATCCTAAAAATTTAATTTAAAGATACATTTATTAATTAAATTTGTAGAATACTTTTTTCATTTAATTTAATAGGTAATTAAAAAAAAATATATTCATTTTAATATTTTATTAATTAATATAAATTAGAAATAGATAAAAAAAAATTTTCATAATAAATTAAAAAAAAATATTATTAGTTAATATAATATAATAAATTATAAATTAATTTGATATTTATTTCTGTTTATATATATTTTTGTTATTTTTACTTATTATGTATTTGCAATTTTTAAGCATTTCAAGTATTTGTTTTAGGTATATAAAATATATAAAGAAGTTAATATAATTAATAAATATAATAATTATAAGATAAATTTTTAATTAATAAAAAGTAATATAACTATATTTTTATTTTATTATTTTAAAATAAATAAATTATACTGAATGCATTTTTTATTTTAAATATTAAAAATTTATAAGAAGATTTTCAATAAATTTTAAATATATTTTTTAATTTATAATTATTTTTTATATAGTTTATTTTTTTTTTTCAAAAAAAAAAAAAAAAAAAATGAATACTTCAAGCATTTAAAGAAAAAAATCTTTGACAAATTTATAGTTAACAATAAATTCTAAAAATAAAAGGTAATTTCTTTAAAAATATTAACTTTTATTCATTATTTTTACAATTAAATTTATTATTAATATTATGAAAAAGAATATTTATAATATTATTATATTGCCTACTCTTGTAATTAAAAATGAAATTTTATTAAAATATATTTTTATTTTTAAAGAATTTAATTATTATAAATAAAAAAAGCGAAAATGAACATGATGGTTCGTTTGTAGGTGAAAATTTTGTTTTAGATTAAAAAGGAATGAGTATTTAGAGCAATTATTCATAATAAAATTACATGAGTATTGAAAAACCTGTAGAATAATTAGATATAGAAGAAAGCAAAAAATAATATAATAATTTATAATTATAAACGGATAAAGATGGATTTAAAATACCTTTAACAAAAAAATAAATTTAAAAATAAGAAGAATAAAAAAAAGAAATAATACAACAATAACAAAACTAAGCAAATTAATAAATATACATAATACCAATTAATGAAGTATAAATTATCAAATATTTAGGAAACGGATCTTCAGGTACAGTTTAATAAGGTTATCATGAAAAAACTAATACATTGCTTGCTTTAAAAGTAATTACTATTAAAAAAAAATAAAAAAAACAATATATCTATTAATTATATATATATAAATAAAAAAAGTATATAAATTTACATACAGATGAATAATTTAAAAAGTAAATTAATTTAGAATTAAATACACTTATTAATTGTGATAATATACATATTATTAAGTGTTATGGAGCATGTTTTGATGTAATATATATATACATATAATAACTATATTTTAAAATTAATAAAAAAAAAGTAAGGGAAAATTACTATAGCATTAGAATTAATGGATATGGGAACTTTAGGAGATTTAATAAAATAATTTCAATATATTCCAGAAACAATAATAGGAATTATAACATACTAAGTATTTTTAAAAATGTATATATGATTTACCACCTAATTTTAAATTATGAAAATAAAATAAAAATAGGTCTTGAAAGGTTTAGAACATCTACATAAAAAAATAAAAGTCATCCATAGAGATATAAAACCTTCTAATTTATTAATAAATTCTTAAGGAATTGTTAAAATTTCAGATTTTGGTGTAAGTGGGAAAATTAACCATACTTTGAGTACTAAAAATTCTTGGGTTGGTACTGTTTAATATATGAGTCCAGAAAGATTACTTGGAAACGATTATTTCAGTGATACTGATTTATGGGCATTAGGGATTACTATTGTGGAATTAGCTTGGGGGAAAATGCCTTTTAACGGAATGGGATATTGGGAGTTGACTAATAATATAACTTCTGGTCCTATTCCTTAACTCCCTTAAAACTTTTCGGATGAAATTAAAGATTTTGTTAATATATTGTAATTATTTTTTAAAATATATATACATTTATTTTTTAGTTAACATTTTTTTAAAATTAAAAATAAATAAAAGATTATAGAAATAAAGTGGAATGAGATCTAATGCCACAGAGTTATTGGTAAAAAGAAAATATTTAATTAATTTTATTTGGTTTTTTCTAAAATTTATATATTTTTTTCCTTTATTTTTAATAAGAATCATTCTTTTGTAGAAGATTATAAAGACATAGACCCTGTAATGCTTGTAAAATGGTTAAATAAAGGATAGTATAAAATATGAATTTTTTTTTATATTTTTATAAATATACATATAGCATATTATTTTTATAAATATATATAACACAAATACATATTTTATTTTGTTTGTTAAATAATAATTTTTTTTTTTTTTTTTTTACAATTTTATTTATTTTAAAAAACATAATAAAAAAATTGAATTATATTATTTTTTTATCATTTTGGTAATTCAAAAGTTTTTTTATAAGGGAATATAATTTTAGTAAATACAAAATGTAAACTTATAATTCCACAACCAACTCCCATAAATTTTCTTCCATTTTTATTTAAATAAACTATATATCTATCAACATGTTATAATAAAGAATCTTTATTTTCTTTCATAACTGTTGATATAATAAACTTTATTTTTGAACAAAAAATAAATAGATTAAAAAATATTAACATTTAATATTAAAAATAAAAATACTTTTTTATTTTCATATTTTCCAATAAAGACATAAGAAGAATTAGGTAAAATAGCATACTCATGAGTTTTTTATTTAAAAATTTTATTTTACAAATTAGTAAAAAAGTTTTAACTTTCTAAAGTTGAATTAACCAAATCAATATTGTAAAAATAAGCATTTTATAAATTAATTTCACTTTCAAATTTAAATTCTTAATTTCCTATTAAAAAATTAATTTTTTCGTTTTTCTTATTTACTTCGAAAATAAAATCATCTTCACATTCTTCACTTTATTTAAAAAATTTAATTTATTTGCTATATATACATTCTATATTTTAATCTGAAATACATTTTCTAGTTTATATTTTGTTATCTTTTTATGTATTTGCTCTTAAAATTAATTATCCTTTTTTCTCTAATTCTTCGGTTTATTAAATGTAATCTATGTCATATGATTCTAACTTTATTAAAGAATCGAAATAGTTTATATATTTTTATTCTTTATGCATACAATAAGCTCCAAATCCTATTAATGAAACTGCACCTACAAGTAAAGTATTAGATAACATTTTTTTTTTTTTTCGAATACAAAAAATATATATCTTTTATTTTTTTTAATATATTTTAAATAAAAATACTTTTATTTTATACAAGATTTATCTTTAACTTTATCTTTATCTTTATATTATATATATATAAATATATATATATATATTTATATATATATATATATATAATTTAAAGAGTTTATTTATTTAACTTTTTAATAAAATATTTTTATTAAAAAATAAATTAAAAATACAAAAATAAACCAAATTTATCAAAAAAGAAAAGATATTATATATTAAATATTGTAACAATAATATAAGCTTCACAAATTTAACTCTCTTTTTATCCATTAAGTAAGTAACTAAGCCTGAGTTTGTGAAGCCCCAATTACAAAAGCGTGAAGTATTCCTTTCTCATCAAGTTGTGCATTAATGTGGGGCATTTCATTTTTTAAATCAAAATAGTAATACTACGGACACCAATCGTCATCTACTCCATAATAATACATAGTTTTATCCGCATACTTAGACATAAGTTCATACTATCTTTCATTAATAGTATCATATTCTGATGCTATCATATATAGCATAGAATAAAAATTTCTATAATTAAAATATTCGGTTCCGATTTCAACTAGATCATTGTACTTTTCTTTAATATCTCCAAGGGAAAGAGACACATATAAATTTCCGATAAATCTTTTTAATTTTTAAGGGAAAAATGAATATATAGCAAAAAAAAAACTCATAATATAAATAAAAGGAAAAAATGGCATTTTTAAATGCGATTTTACATAAGGAGTCTGTCCAATACGTTCTATTACTGGAAATAAATTAAAAACATATAAAATATGTATTGGGGGAATTTTGTCTAAAATATTTAATGCGATATAAGATCCTATAGAATGTGTTACTATAATAAACTATACATTAGGCTTTTTTTTTATTAAATGTTCTAAAAACTATTTTTTTTATTCGATTTAATCTTATATTGTGTATTTGTTGTGAAGAGGCTTATTTTTATAATTAAATTAACCTAATTATCCAATTCCGCATATGGTGTATTTTTATCCTAATAAATTATAGAGTTTGTGTAGAAATTTGTCGTAGAATTTTATGTAGCCCCTATGACCGGTAAAAAAGACTATTTTCACATCTTTTTTTGATATATTTTTGATAGATGGGGTATTATTGGGAGTGTATTCTTCGTTTTCTTTTTTTATTTTTAGGATTTCTGTTTTGCCGCAGGGAAGATCGATTATTTTGTATCGGGCTTATAGTTTGTAAAATGGCTAGTTGAATTTAATTAAATATTGATTTGCTATGTATATTAGAGGGATTAAGCCTAATATTAAATATACAAAGGTATTTAGTTATATCATTTTTTTATTACGTTTTTATTTCTAAAATAAATAGATTTTTTTAAGCTTTTTATATTTAATAATTTTATATTAAAATATTATTTTATTAAAAAAATTATTTAGATTCCTATATAATTTATAAAATTTTATATATCTAAAATTTGATTATTCAACTTTTAAATAATATATATATATAAATATTAAAGAAAATCAACTGTTTTAAGAAATATATTCATCATATAAAATTTGATAGTTTAAATATTTATTTTAATTTTTTAAAAACTAAATATTTTTTACATTATTATTATTTATGAGTTGTCAAATATCTTGATTTTAAACAATTTCTTCATAAATATTTTTATATTTAAATCTATAGTTTAATTAATACTCATATATTTTTTGTTATTCGTATAAATAATATCTTTATCTGACTAATTTAATTCAAAAGATTTTTTAAGAAACTTTTAAAATTATCATTATTTAAATTTTTAATACATACAATTGATTTTCCTAGTAAGAAATAAGTCTTTGAAATATTCAAATATATCTATAATAATTTTTATTTAAAATTATATTTAAATATATAATAAACATACAATTTTATAAATCTGCACTTTTTATTTTTTAAATAATTTTTTTATCTTTTTCAGTTTATGCTATTTTATTTTTTTAAAATAAAATAAAAAAACTAACTTTTTTTTTTTAATTTTCATTAAAGTATACTTATTTATTTTCTAATAAATTTCTATTGATTTTTTTGTTATTTTTTTTTATTGAAAGATAAAAATTGCTTATTCATAAAATTTACATGCCTATTTATATTCTTATTATTTATATTTCTAATTTCCAAATTATTTTAAAAGATCTATAGAAAAGTATCTTTATAATAATTTATATAATCATACTAGAACATATTTAATAATAAAATAATGATTATTTTTCAAACTAAGGTTATATAGATATATTAACTTAACTTGTATTTTGATTTTCTTTTCTTTTCATTTCTTTAATATATCTTTCATATTTTTAGTATTTTTTATTTATTTTTTTCGTCAATATTAATTTTCTAAGTTAAAAAGAATATAATTTGATATAATTTATTATAATAATTAATATTTTTCTTTTTATATCTATAATATGCCTTTTTAATTGTAAAATTAATATATATATATATAAGCATTTATTTATATAAACAAGGGTTAAATTTTTAATACAAAATTTTAAAAAAATATATTTTTTTATTTTCAAATAGATTTCTAATTATTTTTAATTTTATATTAAACGTATATAAAAAGTTAAAATATATATATATATATTTTTTTAAATAATTCAATTTATATAAAAAAAATACATTTTATATAATTAATATAAAATTAAAACATTTTTTCATATTATTTTCAAAAATTATTAAAGAAATCTTATTCATCTAATTTATTATCTTTTATAATAACAGCAAATGGATTGTTTTATAATTTAGGTGCATCTTTTTTCTAAGGTTTCATTATATTTAAAATTTCTTTATTTTTTAAATTATTATTATTATTATTTTTGACTTAAAATGCCTAGAAAAATATAAAAAATATAAAAAAAAAAATTAAAATTTACATCAAAAATATTCAAATCATTAATTTATTCTTATTTATTAAAAACACAAGATTTTGTAAATATATCTGTATTTAATATATTTATACCAATATTATTTAATGACTAAACCTAAACTTATTATAAAGTGAAATTTTTATCCTAAATACTAGATTTATCTTCACTAAAAATTTCATTTTGAAAACTCCATTATTCATTTAATGTGTATGAGCTTACTTTTTTTGAATCTTCTTAAGGAAATTAATCTTTATGTTCTTCTTTTTATTTCTATAAAATTATTTCTTAAAATCTTACTTTTTTTTGTTCTTTTTCCTCTTTTTCTGTATTAAAGCAATAATTATCTATATTATGTTCATTCTAACATACTATTTTATTTTGTAAAATTAAATCTTTTTAACTTTAATTGTATTATTATTCTGAAATTGGGGCTTTTTCTTAACTAATTAAATTTATTTATTTATCTAAAGTTTCATTATTGTTAGGAGATAAATTCTTATTCGGAAATTCGATTTATTCTTAACTATTGTTAATATTCCAACCATCGTCTAAAGTTAATTAATCAGAAACTTCATCTTATTATTATTATTATTATTATTATTATTATTATTATTATTATTATTATTATTTTTATTCTTATTATTATTCTTTATATTCTTATTCTTATTCTTATTCTTATTCTTATTCTTATTCTTATTCTTATTCTTATTCTTATTCTTATTCTTATTCTTATTCTTATTCTTATTCTTATTCTTATTCTTATTCTTATTCTTATTCTTATTCTTATTCTTATTCTTATTCTTATTATTATTATTATTATTATTATTATTATTATTTTTATTCTTATTCATAATTTTATTCTTATTCTTATTCTTATTCTTATTATTATTATTATTATTATTTTTATTCTTATTCTTATTCTTATTCTTATTATTATTATTATTATTATTATTATTATTATTATTATTATTATTATTATTAAAATTTTTATTATAGTTCATCTTATTTTTATTATTCTATTATTTAATTATCCATTTAATTTTAATCTATGTTTTCTTTTAAATTTTATTCTTAAGAATAATCTATATTCCAATTATCATCTAATTCTAAATCTAATTCTAATTCTTAATCTTATTTTATTATATTATTTTTATCTTTATCATATATTATATTATTTTGATCTTTATCTTTTTTTATATATTATTTTGATCTTGTTATTATAAATTTTATAATAATATATTTTTATTTTCAATATCATCAATATTTTATTTTTCAATATAATCTTATTATTATATTTCATTATTTTTTTCTAATTTTATTATTACTAAATACTATTACTTAAATTTAAATCTTCGATTTATTCAGTATTTATTTTTTCATATTAATCTATTTTTATTTAATCAATATTTATATCTTAATTTTATTCTTCAATTAAATTGTTATTTTTATTAATTATATTATTTATTACATTATTATAATCATAATTTTAATTATTATTTTATTAAATATTATTAACTTCTTCTTTTATATTTTAATATGGATTCCATCCATCATCTAAATTTAATTAATTGTCTTGATTTATGTTTTTTTAATCATTTAACTCTACTTTATTTATATATTTTTTTCATTATTAATTTACTCTATATTTTATTATTATTATTAGTCTTCATGATGTATATTTTATACTTCTGAAATTATTATATTCTATAATTTATCTATTTTTTCTACTATTTAATTTTCTTATTCTCCAATATTAATATTTTAGGTATTCCAATCTTCATTTAAATACAATTACTCTTATTTATCTTTATTTGTATTTTCTAAATCTACTTAATTTAAACATAGTTCTTCTTATTTATAATTCTATATATCTTAATTTTAATTTTCATATTTTTAATTTAAATTATCTTATGTATTTTCTAAATTTTATTGATTTTGGGAAATGTTTTATTATTATTATTAATAATATTTTTATTTTTAATAATTTTCTTAGTAAATATTTTCGTTTTCAATTTATAAACCATACTCTTCCTTATTTATAAAATTTTAATTTTCCTCTTATATATTATTATGAATATTATCTATTTATTTTAATTCTTATTATTTATTTACTTATTCTACGTTATTTTAATTTTATATATGATACAAATAATTTTCTTAAATTAATTATTCTTCATTATCTACAATTTATTAATTATCTTCTATTTAATTATTTAATTATTATTACTAATTTTATTATGATTATTAATTTTCTTCTGTTTCATATTTTTATTATTTAATAATCTATTCTTAATTATTATATTACTTTTATTCATCATCTTATATTATTAGTTTTTATTGTTAATTTTGCTTTTCTTATTAAATATTTTTCGTTTATTTTAAAATTTATTCATTTGCTTTATTTTATTATATTATTAAATTACATAAAATATTATCAATTTATTATATATTTTAATTTTTATTTATATTTTAGTCTTAAAATATTTAATTATAAGATTCAGTTTATTAATGTTAATTATATTATTATTAATTTTGTTTTTATTATATTTATACTATTTATTAAAAATTTTATTAATTAGAATAATATAATTCGTTTTGTTTTAAATCCTATTAATAATTTTATTAAAAACTAATAATATTGTCTTAATTCGAATTATCTTATTAAACATTATATAAATATATATTTTAATTAACTTATTCACTCAAATTATTTTCTTCAAATTTATATTATTAATTTAATTATTATTAAAGATCTTACTAAAAAAAATACTTACTATAAATTTTATTTACTTGATTTTTGGTTTATTTCATATAATTATATATCTTGTTATTAATTATTATTATTATTATTATTATTATTATTATTATTATTATTATTATTATTATTATTTTATCGTTTTTATTATTATTTTCTTTTTTTCCCAAAAAATCGAAGAAATCAAAATTATTTCTATTTTATTAAAAATTATCATTTTTGAAGGAAGTAAAATCTATTATTTTATTATTATTAGATTTTTAGTTTATTTATTTTTTTTCATTTAAATTTAATTTTTATTATTTTTTTTATTAAGTATTAAATAAATCTTCTAATGATTACGTATTTTAATTAGACCTTCAAAGTAATTAATTTCTATTTTTTTCTTTTCTTTTGTACTAATATTTTCAACCTATTTACATTCTACTTTTTTGTATTCATCTAATTTATATTATTTCTCAATTTCTTTTACTTACTTTTCTTCTTATTTTTTTATTAATTTTTCATCAGATTTTTTACGTACTTTTTCTTTTCTTCTTGTTTTTAGTCTTTTATTTCTTATGATTATTAATTTTTATTTTATTTTTTTCACTTCTTTTTGATTTTATTATATTTATTATTCTTCTTCTTTTATCAAATTAGTATTCCAATTATCAATTTAAACAAT